CCGTCTACACCTCAGATACGAACCGCAGACAGCCTATAACCTATCTGATTTCCGTATCACAACAACCGGCACCCTCAAGATCTTATTTTCTTTCTCTGAAAATTCATTCTCAGCCAAACTCATCTCGCGGCCCTCTCCACAATTATCTCACCATCTACCTAAGCAATCCTATACCTCCAAAAGCCAAATCATCATAAAAGAAGCAAGAGGATGTCCGACCCTAGACAACTGCCAGTCGCTGTGAGGGTACGGTCGAAATACCGGCCTTCAACGGGTCCTCACCTCGGCCAAGGGCACCAACAACTCGACCTGCGACGAATCGCCACCGACGAAATACGTACGACATTTCGCCGGCACACTAACCAGAATGTTTGACAAAGGCTGGGGCATCGGTGCCTCGGTCTTGAGCTCCCAGTCGCGTTTTCGACCTCCACGGTTAGGGGTATGGCAGCGACGAGGCAAGGCCGGAGGGTTGGATAGTCTACAAAGTTTCTGGGATGACGAGATCTGCTGAAGGATAGAAGGATACTGCATGAAGGAATTAAAGGGAATACAAACTGAGGAGGCCTTGGTGGGCGACTGGATGAGGCCTCCAGTGAAGAAAACGACCTCTGGATGAGATGAAGAGATGCTGAGATGAGCCAAAGCTAGGAATCAATCGAAGGGAAAAGTTACTGATCGCGGAGATGTCAAGGGCTCGGGCGCGTGGTGGCCGAGCCTGAGGAGGAATTTGCGCTTCAGCGCGCCAAAAGGGGGTTCGATAGACGGTTGGGCTTGACATGATTCAACACATGGGTGAAGTCTGAGGTGGTCCGGTCATTTACTTGGGACGAGGAAGATGTACTTAATGGTAGTTATCCTGATCCAGCCCGGCCCTACCCGTGCTTAAGCTCCAGTAGGAGTGCAACGGGAATCACTATACCTAGCACGTAAATGAACAAGACAAGACGAGACTCTATTTCTATTCCACAGTACTAGTGTTTAAGTCCTGTCAACATAAAATAATTTAAAAAAAAGAGTGATGATCAAGGTCAATCATATCTCATGGCGCATGTGCACATTATTCTATTGTGAACAGTTTGTTATAATGTAGTCATGTAATTCTCCTATTTACAACAACCGGTACCTTTATACTCCATTCTATATGTTGTGCTCCGGTAGATTTATGTTGAGAGTCAGGCAACTAGATCGCATCCCTCTAGGCTTAGAGTCGTAATAATATGTACTTAGTAAAATCCTCGTTGTCTCAGTTGTCTGTTTAGGGTCTTGACTAGCTTTGCAGAAACTAGTCAATAATAATTTTCCTATCATTGAGAGCTAGCTATGACTGTTTTGAAAACGCAAAGTAACGAATCATGTCTCTACATGACAAATTTCACATCTGTTTCATCGATGGAGACTCGTCGTAGGCTGGGTTAGTAGTGAGATTGGCTCAAGAGTAGATGCATTGAACGCTAGTTCCTGCACAGTACTTTCATAGCACATAGCATTACGTGGAGGAATGGTGTCTTGCATCTGGAAACTAAATTTACTTGTGGGGTTATTTAGTAGCTTCTACTAGTGGTGAAATGACTGCTGAGGTTCGAGAGACGAAATGAACTGGGAAAGATCATCCACAGAAAAATGAGATGATGAAAAATGACAGGTTTTGTAATGGGAAAGTCAAAGAGGTTAAGGCATATCTGCGCTTCGTGTTTGGGGGCAGTAACTGATATTTTTCGTATACGCAGTCGTGTAATCTCTGCAACTTGAATTTTCAATCAAAAACAAGTGTTAGACTCTACGAGTCAATTGAAAAATGTACGAAGTAAAAGTAAAAAGTGTCAATTAATTCCTGGCTGCTATTTCTCTTTCTGATACTATCTAGATTATGTACGTCTAGAAAATGGCAAATGCTCTATGTGTCCCCAACTTGTCTCCATGGACCAAGTTTCTCATGGTTTGGAACGAAACATCTCCAGTCAGAACAGATAGAGTTCTTATTGCTACAGCCCAAGCGAAACACCTTTTTCCGAAACAAGTAACTCCAAGCATTGTAGACCTAACTCCTTAAAATTTATATCTGACATTAGTCGCCTCCAAACTATCCACAGTTTGATAACAAGCCAACACCATCCCTTTTGATAGCCATCTGGACACGTAATGCTAGTCATAGTTATTGGACTAGAAATTATAGATTAGAGTGATGCAAAGACTGGCATAAAAAGCTATGAAGCTCCAAGCGCGCGTAAAAACTTATGGCCGATTGGGGGACTATTCTCAACACCTGTCAGCGGTGTCCCCAACGAACCTCCAGCCTCACTGTAGAGTCTGCAGAGCCGAGATTGAGTAACAAAGTCCTCACTTCGAAGAGGATTCCCAATCGCCTTCGCGGTCTGTATCGTCTTCATCTCTCATCACATCCCCCTATCGCCAATATCATGAAGCTAACCACGATCAGATCAGATGGTAGGGTCGGAGCTCTACTCATCACCAAACCTTGATCATGGAGGAAAAGCCATGCGATGAGTTTCCGGAGCGCACCCAGCACCCGATACGGAGATGGTGGATTGGATCAAGTCGGCCTCGACTGTTACAAAGAAGGGAGACGTAGATGAATATGCGCACCTCATGTGGTCCCGGTGTCTAGGCCTCGCCTGCCTGGGGCTGCAGGTTTTTTGAGACTTTTTCCCGCGCACGCAGTTTCCACTGCTACCATTTTTTTTTGGGTAGAAAGTTCCGTGGAAAAGGTAGCTGAATTCCACGGGTAAATACTGAGCTGAATGGCTATTCATCAAGGAGAATATATCAATGATCTTTCAAGTAACAAAAGAGGATAGGAGCACTGTACAAGGTGTGGCCTGGGTCAGAGGAGCCAAATGTGGTAGATAGTCATAGACTCATGTAGCACAATAAACACACACACTTTTGGCCGATTAAAGACAATAATAAGACCTTTGAAAACTCACTATTGCAGAGTCTGAAGTTCCGTGGGCAGTCAAACTCAACAGGAACCCTTTGTTTGATCGGAATTCCATGGGGGGTGCAAGAGAATTCGTTGTCTTTTCAAAGAACCTTGATCAGAACTTGAGCTCATCGACCCATGCAAATTCTTAGTGAACAGGTTGAGCTGAAGCCGTATTTGTGCGAGAGAAATGTAGCCATAGTTCAAATCCAAAGATTTCGAAAAGACTTCTCATTACAAAGCTTGAAACGCACTCATGACAAGTCCCCCAAATTTCAATGGTAGAGCCAAGATCTAGAGAATTATCAGAGACCAATTCCGTGAAACCGCGGGAGACAGCCCAAGCGACTGCAAAAAGTACGCAGTGGATCCAAGACCATGGATAGACTAGGCTGTCTCGCACAAGAATACGGCCAAGATGTGGTGGGTACGGCAGAATGGTTGGAGTTGGTAGTTTATAAGAATGATGTAGGGGGAACCCGCCGACGGCAGACTAATTCAGCCTCGCTTCCTGGAGGTTGGTAGGTATAAATACAGGGGTCTATATTTGATAACCATGTGTATGAAAAGACTTAGACACCTGTTTGGGCTCTTGCTGTGCCATTCCAAGCCCATAACAATCAGAACCAAGACTTTAATACTCGACTGCTATCAACGACAGTCATGCTCATGGATGCCAGACGAGAGTGTATCTATCGGAAGCAGATAAATGTGGCCCAGTTCACTCGCTGTTCCTTGGACAGACAGATCAGGCTCATGCTAGAAGACCTCTCTGACAAAAGAGCAGCTGGGTCCTGGGGGCGATTGAGAGTGTAAGATTATGCTTCTAGAATGAACAGCAGGATCGCATCCATTACTACGACCTTTTATCGGATATTAGTCTTGAGCAAATTGCTCAAGATGGTAAGGACCACCTGGAGAGATGGTCTGAATTTTGATGATCCACAGACTCGTCGCATACAATCCCGATATCGGAGTCCACTCCCTGTCTCGTTGGACCCCACTCAAGTCTATCCCGACGACACGTCATTTTCAAAACTGTCGGAAATCGATTTACAGAAATATAAACTAGTTATAAAGTGATGAGTGTTCCAGCCATCGAATGAAATAGCTTTCTGCGCAGTTTGATCCCATATAATCTTCAACCAAGCAAAGACTTGGGAAGAAAACACAAGATTTGGCTTGGCCTGGGAGGTTTCTAGCATTTTCCGAGAATGTTAGTGAATAGTGAAATACCACCAACCATGACCTCTGCAGCATTAGCAAGGACATGGATAAGCCAAGGAGTTTATCAGATCCATCTTCTCTGCCTCCATCGAACTTTTTGTCAAAAGTCTCTGGGATGATCCCGGAATATCAACAAGACCCATGTACTATCTGACTTTGAAAGTAAACACCCGGATACCAACATACACAAAACCTGGTCTACACTGTGTTGAAAATGACTGATGGATATTGTGCTATCAAAAGAAGCGTCTGAGACGAGCCAGTGTCGTTGTAATGAAATTTCAAGCTTCAAAATTGAAAAAGAGTGCTACTTAAAGCTCATGCTGAATTGCACAGGAGAAATGAGATGGAATATTTGGTGCTTCCTAGGAGGAATATCATCGGACCAAACCAACTAGTCAGCTTGCCACCCTGAGTGCATTTTTTTCTATATGGAGTAGTAGTCTCACACCATCTCTTGGCCTTTTTAATACTAACTCATTTCAACCACGCTATAACTCTTGTCTCTCCCATCTTTACGGCTCAGTGGAATATCAAATCAACATGACTCATAGAAGACCCATAAGAAAGAACTTGAAGAAATGTACTGAAAACAGTTCCGTACGCGAGGTCGGATAGAGCAATAAACAATGCCCAAGACTCTAATTTTCATTAATGCATCAGAAAATATTCCTTTCACCTTTCCATTCTTTCTCAATCTTGACCATTAATATATGCTTAACTGACCGAAGACTCTTTGAGAAAACACATTCTTTGTAAGTCCCCTGGTGAAAACTAAGGCCATGACACACTGATAAAATACATAGAAGTCTCTCGTCTTCCACCAACCATGCATTGCTTTTATGCTGTTCTTACATTTAGCTTCAAGTATATTTTTCAAAATGATCGCTTGGTCATCGTAAGCGGCGGTTCGGAGCCTTTCTACGGTGTTTATAAACCTCCATCTCACGGCGAATTCCCGATGCCAAAATTGAGAAATGATCAAGTAATGTCTCATGGCAAGGTTTCATTATTTGGGATGTATATGGCAGCATACTGCTCAGAAAAACTTCCGCTTAATGAAATGTTATACTTGGTGACCAAAGAATTAGAACCAATGCCAACAGCTCTGCAAGAATCTTTTTTCGACATTGCACAAGCTGAGGATAAATGCCTAAAATCAATTTATTCTCTATCCAATAAGTCGGCCACGGGAGATAAATTAAAACTTTCCGAAATCATGAAGCGCAAAGAGTGCTCGATCGAAGTGATAGTCAGTGTGGCTTTTAAACAAAAAATATCATTATTGGGAATAAATAGAGGCTTATTCCCCTCTGGTATTCACGGCATGATTAACATTGAGGTGGACCGAGTGATTGAATTTTGGAGGTTGATCTTGACTGGCCGTGTGGTAAGGGGTCAAACAAAAGAATCCAAGTCCAAGGCACTGGCGTGGTTCCGCGGCCAACTGCATCTCTTTCAAAATGATGAAAGGACCCGGAGTTGGCACCCCCTAACGAATCTTGAACCCAGTCATCAAAATGGAGCGCTCATCGCTAGTTTTCTGCAGGAAAGTTTGGGCGTCGACTTGGCATTGAAAAATCGGATTGAAGCGTTGCGAAGAAAGGAGGACATTTTGCTTGAAAAACTGCGTAAAGATGGAACGCTCGACAGCGCGCCCCATGACTTGCAAGGTAAAAGTGAGGCAGTTGTGCATATAGCAGTAGAGTTGCTTTCTACATCAAATGCGTTTGGTAGCATAGGCGCGGCTGAAATCGAACTTCCAAAATTAGGGCCCGAGAGAATGGGGCACAATTTAGGTACTCGTCCGGAGTATGTAGTGTAGCCGCAATATTAGTTGTAATGAACCAGGCCCATCAAACCATCAGTCGAACATGGAGAGAAAAGGCTTCCTGCACAATCGTAAATTCAACATTCTCATGGCGCACTTGTCCGATTAAACTTTATGACACCATTTGATCCCTCGACTCGATGTGACTGCAGCTCAAAATATTATTCTAACCTTAACTATCAGGTGGAGACTTGAATAATTTATTGTCTTTTCGGCTGTCTACTTAAGACACATGATCAGTGTCTTGTATACATACCGGATGACTCCTTCATCTTTAGACACTTAGATTCCGAATTTCATTTACATTCACCATTATGAGGTATATTTGCTTACCCGTCATAGTCGACTCTCCACCGTTAGCACTCACTAAAGGAAAATTGAACCCCTTTGTTATCTATACACGCTAGCACGGTGAAAAATGGGATGGAATCTCACTGGGCTCGAACCAGCCATCTCCTGTCTCAATTGGAGTAGGTGTCCAAGCCATCCAGTATGTAATTGGGAAACTAGACTGGACGATGCTTTGGAGGTAATTGATGTGGTCGGGAGTCCTGATTCATTGCCTCGTGGGCCAGCTTTTCCAGCATTGCTAAATCCAAATTAATAGAGCTCAGGGAAAATAATTCAGCTCCAATCTTACTTCAAGTGTATTCAGTATGTTACGGTTTCACCGTTATTTAAGCTTAGGAGGAAACCTAGGCTATTGATTAGGAGTAGTTACGATAAGACTGAGAGAGGAGGGATGGATAAATATGGATGAAACGGCACTGCTAGCCAGGAGGTCGAAGCAACATCGGAGGCTTATGGCTCATGATAATACTTGGCTCGGTAGAAAGTATTAGGCCTAGGCGAAGGTTATCAGTCAGCAGATTCACGAAGCGGATAGTAGTAACCAGAGATTTTTTTCTCTTCAAGTAGTTTGCTAAATCGATTTACGCATCACCAACTCGGTTTCCGTCACACAGTGCATCTAGTTGTGACGCTTTTACTCCCATGTTTGTAGCGAGTATCTCGGAAGGGAAGGAAGCCCTTTGAGAATTTTTGAAAACTTCCATGTGTATGTCAGCACACAAAGGAGATGATATAGGCATACAAATAATGGACATCAAGACACATAAAGAAGTGATTTTGGGCGTTAACTGTTGTCATTCTGCAATGTAAAAATAAATGGATATTTAATTGTCATAGCTAGATAGCTGAATATAATATGATTCTAGAAATGTAAATAAAAGGGTATCTCGAAAAAATGCTTGGCAGTCGTAATCCAAATGAAGCCCTGCCGGCGTGTTGGATAGGCTGTGCCTCGGTATCTGATCAGATAACTATGTACGTTGGGATAAAGATGTTCTTGTACATTCTGTCTACGACTATGGTACACTATAAGAAAAGTATACGAGGCTGACGATTCAGCCTTGTAACCTTACACCGTGCCGGACCCTAACTCTACTGCTTCCCCCAATTCATAACGACAAATCTACTACAGATGAGAGGCGACTAAAAATATCAAACAACACAGGCAGTATTTTTTTTTCTTTTTTTTTTTTTTTTTTTTTGGGATAAAGATTTTCAGTTTGTCGTCCAACAAATCGTACGGATTACCGGTGTACATCTTGTTCCGATCATATGTCTTGATAAACTGTAACATTGTTGACGAGTCTAGACGCTCATTGGGTACTGGTACTGGAGGAAGAGAACTATACGGGTCGTATGCCACAAGACAAAATTGGGAAGTATAAGGAGTCGGGCCGGGATAAGGGCTTCGGCTCGGCAGTTGTTCAGGGTTTTGCTTGTCATATCTCTTTGTGAAAAGGCCAGATGAAGGAGCTGTGTTTGGAGGATTTGGTGGTTGTTGGACAAGGTTCTCATAAGTAATTGGAGTCTCTGGCTTGGGGATTTTCAGATCCGGGGTTTGTAGTTTAACTCTTGCTTTATGAAAATTGATAGTTTTCTTATCTGTGTAAAAACGAGAACCTAGAACGAACTCAGTTTGTGCCAACTCTGCTTGAATCCACTGCCATGGTTCCTCGAGGGTCGTCAATTCCATCAACTGAGGAGCTATTTTGCCATTATTCCTTCCTGTGAAAACGCCACGAGTGCGAAGGAAAATCTTGAGTTGACGCCGAACTGCTCGGGGTAGTGCAGCAAACATATCGATACTCCAGTCTTCGAATTCCTCTCTATAGGCATAGAATAGATTCTCATCGAATTGTCGCTCTGCAGTAGTATCGGACATCATCTTTGCAACGTGGGTAGCCAGATGGTTAGGAGTGGATTTTGATGTAGGATCTATTCCCCAGAGGGTTAGTTCGATAAAGTCTAGGTTACCAGGGCCAAATCCAATTCCCTTCATGTATCGTGTAATGGTTGACGTTTCGATGGATTAAGGTTCGGAAGCATCACGAGATGAAATATCTTTATTGGAAAGAGTTTCGTTAGCCATCTTGTTGGGTTGAGGATAGAAGTTGAGAGGCTGAGTAAAAAGAGGATTATTAGGTAAAGTATTAGCGTGATGGGACGCCTGCTTCTTCGTTGGATCTGAGAAAGCGCTCAGTCTTTCATAGTTCTTCGGAATCTGCCTTTTTCACAAATCTACAACAGGTTGATATTGAGTCAACAGTACTGTAAATCGCGATGTCGTAGCACAATGGTAGTACAGGGGTCAGATTTAATGATTTGTAGTATCACTGTCTCATCTATCTTCCACGTCGAGGGTTGTGTTGCCGACAATCATTGATCAATGTTGGAGAGGCCGGGTTTCGGTATCTGATCAGATACCGAAACCCGGCCTATCCATCACGGCGCTCCGAGCGATATTTTGGCGACTCCTCACTTCTGCGCCTGAGCACAACTCGAGGGCCATGCTCAGATAGCAGTAAAGCCTTGCTGGCATGAGCGTCTCTGCCTTCAAAAGAGTCATCACCCGTGTATAGCGGGCACTGTTCACTTGTCATTGCTAGATAGCTGAATACATTGAGATGCTTTTAAAAAAATGCTAGAGAGCGTACGCTATTAATCAGCCCAACACACTTTTTCAGTGCACGCTTGGATGCCAGTCAATACCGCAGACACATCGATAAAAGCTCGTCTGAATATCATTATTTTCTTCTCTCAGTCTAAGATCACATAGACGACATTTATGGCTCCCTTGAGAAGTGTGACTAAATCTCGGATTTGGGGACTGTCAAGTGGTGGCTTAAGATCTGCTTGAGACACGGCAGATGTATGTTGAGAAATCATTCACCGACGAAATCCAAAATTCATGGCAAAGTTCTGACATAATAGAGGTAGACTCCAATGTGTGCTTATTCATGTCATTGTCTGGCCAAAATCTCGTCTAAATCCCTTGGTAAATCCATCATTCCAACGCCTGATGGTCTGCCGAAGTTGTGCTTCGGACTGTGAGCATGGGAGTCCCAGCCTGCATGAGACTCAGTCCGAGTAAATCTCCTGAGCCCCATCTACGCTGTTTCGTACCCCAGCCCCACCCCGCTAGGGGAAATCTATGCCTCTCCACTGCCGTTGCCTAGGCGAGCATCAATGCGCCAGTGAAGCTCTAGAATGGCTTCTAGATTCGTCAGTATCCACAAGCCTGTGGGGAAGACAGCCTGTGCTCGGAAAATCTGTGCTGGCCCCGGTAAATTATTACATGTTGACTCGTGCCTTGGATAACGAATCCTCTCTGTGCCTACTATCCAACTTTTCCACCTCGCCGTTGGAATCTTCACGAGAAAAGGAAACGTGGGTGAAAATTAAACCGTGTAGCATTTTCTCTCTCTCTAATGTTCTAGAGGTAAATCACCATGAACAGCGTTTCTTCATAAACGTCGTCCTAGGGTTCTAACAGAGTGTCCAACTGAGTAGCAAGCTTCCTGGGTCAATCTACTTATAAACTGTCTCATTCTATCGACAACTTTTAGCGCTGCGTGGGGTTTCGTCAATGATCTCGTCAGAATTTAACTCCATTTCTGCGATGTAATGCAATTGTAAGGGAGCGGTGAGGCCAGTGTCGATATGCAGGGAAGACCTCACACCCGGACCTGCTCTAACCCATTTTGACGTTGATAGTGGTACCTTCCCAGCTCCATGGTACACACCACAGTTGAGATCCACTCTTAATCTCCGAAATCGCCTTGTACATGGCTGGTCAACCTTACGGCCACCAGCCGCGGCAGATTCTTCCTTTGCTGTAGCTAGAGGCGTACTATCCCTGACGCGGATCAAGACTTGTGGGATTTTCATGATCAACCATCTCACTGACACTGGCTGTAGAGTAGGAGGCCAGTTGCATTTCGGGCTGTCTTAAATTCAGTTTCATGTCCGCTGTAAATTTACGGTGAGATGCCAGAACAATTGAACAATAGCGTGACCGTGACCTGTGTTGATTGCCTGGCAATGCTTCCTTCAACAATGTTAGCACGCCATCTTCTGCCTGAATACTCCAGGTTCTATTTGTGGCTCCCTAGACCCCTGTCTATAATTTGTCTGGTTTTGAAACTAACGTCTCGTCGCCTGATACCCTCCTTTTCAACTGCGAATTAACCTTTTGGATTTACTCTGGACTAAACATCTGTCATTGATCAGGTACAAAACTGACGAGAATTTGTATGGAAAATGATAATTTACTTTAAATATGCAAATAAGATGTTTGGGGAGTTGGACAAGTATTTATACATTTCTTTTCAGACTATCTTTGGCCTACATCCAATGAGTATTTACGGCTTACTAACCTAGATCCTTCTAGCAGCTTCCCCTCTTGTCCCTGGAAGGTTCCTTCTTCATTGCTAGAAATTTACCCCTCTTTCTAGGTAAATCTCGATCATCTTTGTTCTAGTCTCGAATGTTCCACCAGAAAGATGTGTCAGGTAAGCATATCTTAGAATTTATGAGAATATTCCTGTCAAGTAAAGTCAGGAGCCAAGGACTGTCTGCGCTAGCCAGCCTAGACTACAGGCATTGCTCAGTAGACTAACCGTCACAATATCAATCCATTATGTGATAGCTTCAGCAGCCGTAGGGGTAATCGATCAGCGCATCTTCCAAAACTGGTATCGCTGTTTAGTTCCTGCCCAGTAGATGGGACAGGAGGCGCAAGAAAAGCGCATAGGATTTGTATAGGATTTGCAAGGAAATCTTTTACATTCCTGGACGAACAGCATCTAAATCCCTACACAAACTACAATTCCCTACTACCTGACTGTTGAAGTGATCAAATGGCTCCTTGAGCCCTTGGTGGCTGAGGTAAATTATAGATGAGGCGTATGGAAGGCCACGGTAACTCGTTGACGAGCGAGACAATGGCACTTCTAGAGAGGTTAGATTTTTGGAGTCCTCACTGAATTCTAGACAAAGGGATTGAATCATCGCTAGGAAGGTGAGGAGAGCTCATCAGTTTTAGAGTGTGGAAAAAGTGGGCAGTTTAGTGCGAATTATTGATTATTCAAGATATGGGGTGGAGATGTTAATTTCTCAGTCTTATTTTTTAGTTTTTTTGCATCAGATTTTAATGGCGTTTGCAGCTATCTAGCAATGACACAACGTCAGAGAAAAAGTACAAAATAGATTACTCAATTATAACTCGAGCACTCATGTACCGGATTTCATCTGCAAGTACCACTACGAAGTTATGGTAGCTTTTTCTTCACCCCAAGTCAACCCTCATCCTTGAGTACCCACCCAGGGGAACGTCTTAAAGACCCTGAGTTATCCAGACATGCCTCCATCATCTTTCAACTTTTCTCCGTGCGAAATCTGGTCTTAGGTGTCTCCTTCCCAAGTGGAGTAGGTGCCCGGGCTACTCAAACCATACCGGAGAACACCACCAGGAGGCGGATCACAACACCTTCCATCGTCGGCTTGTTTTTATAGTGTCAGCTGCACTCTCGCAAGCGAAGTTCTGGCGCGCACAAAGCTCAATTCGTAATACTCCTTGCCAAAATTCGGAATTTCATGCCCTTCGAGGTTATATCCTCCCTTCGCATCATCTTGTCAACTTGTCCTGAACCCTCATGCGTCTATTCCAAAGAACTGTCTCCCAGATTTGTGCGCCACGCTTTGCTTCCTCCGGCGGGTATAAATATCGGCGTGGGTGTGTATTTGGTGGTCAACTGAGACCAGAGAAGGTCGAACAGAGGTGTGGTCATTGGGACGAGGATGTACTAGGTCGTACTTGTAGACTTGATGAGACTTAGGTAGGCGTCAAACTCGTTGGGAGCGAAAAAACGACGTGGAGGAGTAATTTTAAAATTTGCCTCGTGGGCCAACTTCTTTGATATTGCGAAATTTGACTGAACTTGGCTCTGGGAGAATATTTCATTCCCAGGTTCGTAGAAGACACCGCGTACAGCTATTCAGTCTTGCCATCCTCCTAGATGACCCTTTTTTTTTGAATTTGACTTCATTTAGTCTGATTTGGCGCCTTAAGGCCCATGCAGGTGTCTACGAACTCTAATACTTATATAGGAGGAAACCTTTGCGCTGAAAACCCCCTCTCAACTTCTCAATTTGACTACCCTATGGTGCTGTGTTACCTTTAGGAAGTGCACTATCACCGTCATGTCCAGTGTGGATACCGCTCTCGACCTTGCTGCTGGAAGAAGTCTGTCAACCTTCTTCTCTCTCCCTCGTCGTCGCCTCGACTTCAACAGTCAGTCGAAACTGTTCTAGCCATCCTTCCTGCTGGATCCATTTGGTAATCCTTGTTATATCCTTTGGACAGTTCATCATGGCCTCAAACGACCGGTTCTCTGCCTTTCTTAGCATTTCTCCTCTTCCATTGGCCCAGCTGGTGCAGGCCATGACCATATGCTTCAAATTTTGAGACGGATATCCACATGGGCATCGTGGATTGTCTACTCCCGGAACTTTTCTTCTGTGCAGATAGGAATTGAACCCAATGTATTCGCTTCTTATCTGCATGGCTATGCTGCTCTGGGCCCTGCTCAGGTGTGACCCGTGTAGTTACTATTTATTTATTGTTATTGTCAACCGGGCTAGAGCGAACGCTATTGCCCCTTGCCAGGGGGGACATGGTGACTGCTACGAAAGAAACTACGTTTATTTACAGTTGGATGCCGAGAGGCCTTCAAAGACAATTTCTCCGAAGATATTGTGAGCGCTGTATAGCGTATTCTTCAACTTACTAAATCACACATTGCGGACAGTGCAGATTTCAGATAGAGACTTAGCCTTCTCCAGTTTAGAGGCGAGTCGCTTAGCACCACGGGAGGTACCGAGAGCAAAATTGAGAGACCCCAGACCTCGACGGAGACTGGCGGGGCCTAACCTCTCTCGAACAAAGGGCAAAAACTAAGTGGGTGATTGACTTGTTGCCCCAGCACGAACAAGTAATGAGGGCATCTTAATATTGAAACCCTTCATGATAAACACGAAAGTCACTGTGTCCAGTCTGTCATTGAATTAGATACTCGAGGGAGCGACGAGGGAGGCCTCTTGGAAATGTGCGGTTACTAGTAGGTAAAATGAGACTGTCATTGCTCGGAATTCACGATACCAGATTGACAGGATGATCAGTGTCGAAGTCTAAAACAATCAGAATTGTGTCTTGCCTCTCATGTACTGACTATTACGCTATGTATATTTCCTGTCCTATTGCACCTGAGTGGCCATCCTGTAGTTATCCACTAGTGACAAGACATCGGCTATGCCTCGTTTCTAGCTCCTGATTACCTGAGCTTTGGGAACCCCACCTGTAACCTTTACCATTACAACTACTACAGCGGTCACATCAAGAACAGCCCTCCAGCTTCAAGCTTAAAGAGACTAGTATGCCTGACAAAGACGCTGGAACACCTCGAGTCTTTCTGATTAGACATGGTAAGTCGCTCGTTAAACTAGATCTCGTGAAGTGTGCCAGGCCAGCCGACACTTTTAGCAATTCACATAGCCTACTAATGCTTGGACAGGCGAGACAGAATGGTCGATGACAGGCCGCCATACTGGACGAACAGACATCCCCTTGACAGCGAATGGAGAAAATCAGGTTCTGGCGTCAGGACAGCTTCTCGTCGGCTCCGGCAAAATCATTGACCCGGCTAGACTTGTGCGTGTCTTTGTTAGTCCCCGAATTCGGGCACAAAAGACTTATGACCTTTTGTTTGAAAACTCGCATCACTCAAGTATGAAAGGGAAGGTGGAAACATCGGAAAATATTCGCGAATGGGAATACGGGGCCTACGAAGGGCTTCTAACGGCCCAGATTAGAGCGTCGCGTAAAGAGCGGAAGCTAGATGTTACCCAGCCCTGGAACATTTGGCTTGATGGCTGCGAGGACGGCGAATCACCAGCAGAGGTTCGTGATCGACTTGATGAGTTAAACACCCGAATCAGAGATCTTCATCAACCTAATATGCTAGGAGAGCAGCCTGCAGATGTAGTCATAATTGCACACGGGCATATTCTGAGGGCGTTCGCAAAGCGTTGGATCGGATACGAACTCGGAATAAGCCTACCCCTGATGCTCGAGCCTGGTGCGATTGGTGTCTTGTCGTATGAACATCATAGGATAGACGAGCCTGCCCTGCTTCTCGGTATAAATATGGGCGAGTTCAAGTAGATGTGCTGCCAATACTGTGTAGTTTTGAGAGATCAAGTCTACAATGGGTAGAGTATATTTAGTGTTAGCCTACATCTTTCGCCGAAACGTGTACAAAAATAGCCTTTCTCGGGAGAAGATTTCCCGATCTTCATCCTCTATTTCGTCAACCTGAAATTTCTTTTTTGCCTGTCTAAGGAATTGCATGTCCGCTCTCCTTCGCCTTTTGAAGCAAAAATAGATGACAGTCTCCTCACACAATTTAACTAGAGCCTCTAATGTGGCAAGAAGCAAGGGAAATGCAGGCTCAAAATACACACAATCAGCTGCCAAAATAACATTGGGACGGAATTCCACAATCTCTTTTGGCAATGGGGATCCCCTAATACTCAAGTTAGCCATAACTGGCAGTATGGGTAAGGTAAGATTCACCAGTCAAGTAAAAATTCATTGACTCGGCTTTCGAGAAAGTTGAGGGCAATGTTTTGCCGCATGAGCTTCAACATGGGACTCTGGTCAGTAATGAAGATGGCCTCTTGCGGGCTGCAAGCCAGGGCAACAGCCAAGCCGACGAGGCCCCCGCCGGCGCCTAATTCTAGGCTTTTTGAAAGGTTAGTGTGGATGACTAGAATAGGAGAGATGAGAAAATGCTCACATTCTAGCCGTTGCCATGGCCTCACGATGGTAGTGAAGCAAGTGCTTCGCGAGCACCATACCGGCTGGCCAGAGCTGACCGCCACACCCAGCGGATAGATCCTCATGCAGCTTGAGGGGTGGATCAAGCAGATTATCAAAAGATATGGTAGTCGTTGATGCTATTTTGTAGGATGGTAGGGGCGTGAGCTCTTCTCCAATGGCGAGGAGCTCATTGTCGGGCGTGAGAGTAGAGGCAGCGGTCATGGTAAAAACGTCAATATCCTTCGAGCCCTTGACACTCGCCAGATTCCTAGGTCCAAGCGAGCGCTCCGCCGGTGCCAGTCGGCATCGACAGCAGGGCAATTCGCGATTGCTCTCTACGAAGGGGCTAGGCTCAGATACGCGATGATATTACCTCTTAACAGTCCATAGTTTCACTGCTAAGCTTGGGCATGGAGAGAACGTATTCTCCCGCTACTACTCAGCACGACAAAAATTAGCGATGATTTTACGAGGTAGATTTATCGCCTGATTTAGCTCGCCAGTCTTTGTAGGGCATTAACCCCCGCGCTGATCTAGATACCACCCTATTCTGAGGTCCAAAATTGATGCCATCAGGGGAAAGCTCGAGATGCGTTGGGAAATTTGGATGATTAGTCACCCCAAGCGCCTCCAAAATTTATTTGCCTCTCGACGTTGCCGTGTTCATATAGGATAATATTTAGTCAAAATTTATCACAAGAACTTCTACACACTAGTACTGCAGATGTTTGCAACTTTGTTCAATAACCTATTGAGTTATGACTAAAGTACTAAATGAAGGTCCTTTCTGTCCATAGGCCGAGAGTATTAATGCCTTCTTCGCGGCTTCTTTCCAGTGATAATACTCTCACAGACCTTCACCTGCGTGCAAAACTAGAGGAATCATTATCACATCAACATCTACACTCCAAAGCCAGCGATATGACGGATATCTGAGGATTTATAGCTACAAGAAGAAATCCCTATAAACTACTGGCTGCGGGGCCCTCCTGCCGGTATCAGGACAAGATTTATAGACAAAATTGCCCTTCTGAGGCGTTTGAAGAGCGCAGTAGACCTGTAGATACCTGAGCTCCGCTTTCAATTTCTAGCCCCCCCCCCCCCCCTGCACCTACCCAGATTCTCGCCGCAGAATAAAACAAAGGTTGTCGAAAGGGTCTTGGTCGAGAGAAATTGCCGTGAAGTGGCTTAGCCTAGCCTAGTATCTACAGGCCATCACGCACATAGGGGTTTCAAGTCTCGTGTACCTTGCATGCCCTCCTGGCGAGTATAATTTGAAGTATGAGTTTGAAGGTGAGATGTTGTCGACGACTCGAGATCTGTCTCTCATAAGGGCTGAGTTGAATTTAAATTGCTTTCGTAGGATTTTTGGTTGCGCCAATTGTTGTCATGGCCGACGTGGTTTCCACAACTCCATGTACAGAAGCCAACGTGCTGTTTTTATTAGTCATTTGTGGTGGATCCAGAAGATAGTAGCTTTGCCACATCTTGCCGCCCATGAACGAGTAAAGTGAACAGAGCACGAGTGACGCTGTAACCACTGCCATGGTTGGATGCTGCGGTGGTACATCGTCTTGGCCGGTCTGCCAAGTAGAGTCTGGATAGTTTGGACACATATCCCATTCGAGACAGGAGATTGCTGGTTCGACTCCGGCAAAACAAAACCATGTTTTTCGCGGTAAAAGCTTATACGGATGACGAAGGTATGCTTAGATAATCAAATGTTTTGAATTATATCTTGTGGGTACTTACGGAGAAGGTTTGACTGCTTGTTTAAGCAACTATATCCTTTGGTAGAATTTGCAAGAGAACCTCAAGTATGAGTGTCCCTAAAAAGAGCTCAACTTCTATGCCTTACGTCAGCTATATTTCTTGTGTGTTTTTTTTTTCAAATCATTTAATGTGTATTCAGCTACCTAGCCATGGCACATGACCGGTGCCACCATTCCTGAATAACTTTGAGAAAATCGATGAGATACCCTATACTCATCTCCCTTACCCTTTGATTCGCATACATTTACACTAAGTCGACTTCTTATAACAGCAAGACCCCAGATCTCCAACATGTCTCCGGGGCCTGCCAAATCATCGCGACTTATTCGCCATAAAAGAATTATGAACAGAATGAATACCAAGCTGAAAAAGCACTTGGAACGTAAAAGAATACCATTGAGCTCGATAGACGGGCAAAAGATGGAATTGGATATGGCCGAGAGGATAAGAGCCTTCGGAGAAGACTCGAACTCCACAAACCCAGATGTTGAGATGGGTGATGCAGCCATCAGCCAATATATCAAAAAGGGTCTTGAAAGCTCGAGGTGGAATATACAGGAGCCGGAAGACGGTCAGGCCTCAGAGACCCCCGTCAACATAAACTCAAGGAAGATTGCTGTGCCGGCCACGAAGCGGACATCTAATGTTGACGCAAAAAAGGCCGACTTAGCCGCGTCCACCACAACCCCTCAGAATACCATTCCGAGGGCAAGTGGAAACAATCAAACTTCTTGCAGCGATAGTAGCTCCAAGAACACTGCGACTTGTCCACCCGAGCTTCGAGCCATACTTGAAGTCGAGGAACAGCGGGCGGCCCAGACTGCAACTAATCTCACTATCTGCATCGCTGCTGTCAATGGTGTGGAGAATGTGCTCTCACCTCTCTCTAAAGGGTCGGGCGTTCAATTTATAGACTCTATGAAAGTCTACCTCAGAGCTGCGATAGCTCAATTCATGATGTCGGGACCAGGAACAGTCTTTCCCAACCTCTCCCCACGACCAAACTACCAGAATCATGGTGGGAAGATCGTGGAACAAACGATTGAAAAGCAGCCAGAGTTGCTACAAAAAGCGACCCAGGTCAAGGTCACTCAGGTCAAACCTACCTGGGCGACAGTTACCCGTACTGGACTCAAGACGCCAGCAGCACCAATGAAAGACGTTCGAGTCCACAACAAACCCTCCGTATCAGCGAAATCCCCAGCAAAGGCTACGACAATAGCCGCCCAAGACGATCGTTTGTTTCTTCGACTCGGCAAAGACTACGCCTGGCGCGCTCTCTCACCGGCTGGCGTGCGAGATGCAGCAGCAAAAGTGCTCGAGGTTCACTCACCAAATATTGAACACGTATACAGTGTTCCGACTGGTTTCGCACTTCGAGCCAAAAACCAGGAAGCACGACAGCTTCTTGTAAACTTTGCTGGATCGTTCGTCCAGGTGGACGCAAAGTTGGAGAAGACCTCAGATCTAGTGGCCCTTCGTATTGCGACAATTCCAGTCGCTATTCATACACTTCTGGGAAAAGTAATTGTCACCGACGAGATGGTGGCCGACAAAACCACCCGAGTCACCAACAAAGTTCCGGCAAGGGTCCGCCCTCATGGAAAAGGACGAGTCGGGCCCCCCTACCAGACATGAGCGGCTCACTTCGAAAGAGCTTTCGTCCCTCGACCGGGATTCCGACTATTTGATGGCTCGGTAATCCCTGTTCGACATCAGCCCCGCTCAACTGTGAGCCAATGCAAGCGATGTCTCCCATACTATGGGACTCAAAGTTGCTCGCGCACCCCAGTATGCTGGAACTGCACCTCAATAATGCATTCCACGTCGGAATGCAAAGAGTATACAAAGTGCCGCAACTGTGGGGGGCCCCACTAATCGGACTGCCGAAATTGCCTGGCTCGCCCCACCAAGTCTGGAATGGCCTCGAGAGAAAATCTCTTGACTATCAGACAAGCTAGCCAACGCAAATATGCCGCAGTGGTCCGAGCAAAAACTGCTGTTCGACAAGCAGAGGCCGCTATCAAAGCAACCGCTGAGACGCACAAAATAAGTCCACAGAACTACAGCTCTAACAACAGCTTTGAAGTTCTAATGACAGATGAGATGCCATACGTGACTGAGGTCACCAAGGCGGTCATCCCGAAAAATCATTCATAAAGGGTGCCCCACGGGCCTCTTTCCGACTCCCTCCTACTGTAAGTTTCATATCAATCAATGTAGGTAGAGGAGGTCCAACACAGAATATTGCTCTCGCCCGAGCATTTGAGCTGAATATCGACGTTGTTCTAATTCGAGAACCTCGGTGGAAGGAAGAGACAATATCGCATCCTGGATATATTTGTCATCTACCTCATGGTGGCAAAAAGGTCAGGCCAAGGGCCATGACCTACACCCGGAAAGATGATCAGACAATATCAGCGAGGCAACTCTTCACCTGCACTAAGCTGACGGGCGACTATTGCTGGGTGGTAGTGAATGGAATCACTTTCCTCAATGTGCAAAAGGCGCCCAGAGACACATCAGCCGTACAGTCACTTATCAATTGGACCCCGCCGCCGAACTCAGTCGCTGCGGGTGATAACTCGGTGTATTGTGCCTGGCAACTAGGAGTTACTCGTCTCTACAGACAAGGCGAAATAATTGAAAGATGGGCTGAAGAACACCAGCTAACTTGCCTGATCATTGGTGTACCCACACATCAAGCTGGAAACACCTTGGACCTTGCCTTGACCGACATTAACAGTAGCTGTGCATGGGTAGACCGTGATGAATGTGTCACTAGCGACCATTTTCCCATCCGAGGAATAGTTCTGGTCCAGTCTGCAGTATTCAGACCCAAGCTAGCCAAGATTTAAGTGACTAGGGAAAAATCGCCAAACTTTGCGCGAGCTGTTGCTAAATTGGTTTGTTTGCTGCCACTCCTAGACACGATTCAAAAGGTCGAATACTACGCCCAGGAACTTTGCTCCCATCTCAAGACTGCCATCAGTGCAACAGGAACTCGATCTAGAGTAAATGCCGGTAAATCTGCCTCATGGTAGACCACGGCGTGCAAGGCTGCAAGTGCCGAATACTAAGCGGCCGCAATACTCCCCAACGTTTTGTGTACGCCAAAAAGCTCCGATCGGTTCTTAGAGCCGCTAAAAAGGAATATCAAGCACAGCTAGTCGAAAAACTGACTACGCCGAACGATGTTTTTAAGCTGATGAGAATTGCTGGACCTAGACAGTCAAGCATTCCTCCACCTCTTAACCACAATGGAGTTCTCATCTCTGATCCGCTAGAGCGAGCCACAGTTCTCCGTGACTCTCTCCTTGCGAGACACCAAACATCGGACGACCTGCCACAATGTACTGCCGCGAGAAATAATTGGATACCATGGAAGGATGAAATCTCCGGGGAAGAAGTCCGAGCTTGTACCATCGGCTGTGGAAATACGGCCCCGG